GTTTGTTCTGAGTAATTTCTCCACCATTTAGTTGTATTTCCAGATCAGTCCTGGGTTGTGTTAGTGTGGCTTCCATTCCCTCCTTCACTTTCTTATGTTGTTATCTGTTGGTGGTTCCTTTGTTGGTGGGTTTCCTCTTCTAGCAGGTACCTTGGTATTCATAGCTTCCACATACTCTTTTTTTGTGATCAGTTGGAGGAGGAAGGCAAAATGGTTTAAGACAGCAGAAGTGTACTCTATGGTACTTAAAGTACCAACATGTAGAAAAGAGATAGGAGATCCTTTGGATGTGTATAGTTTTAACTGTATTTCACCCAACTAGCCACTCTTTAGAAGGGGTGGAAAGAAGATAAGACTCTTGTTAGGGGGGAAGGATTGTGAGTTGGATCTAGAAAGCAGTAAGCTTGTGGGAGGTCAGATTATGAGGTAAAGTGAGAGTAAAGGACAGAAAATAGGTGTAGTGTGCAAGAGAATAGAGTTAACCACAATAGTAATAAAAGTTCAGGAAACAGTGAAGTGAGCTAAGATCTGGGAGAATTGCTGTGTAATATTTACAGTTGTATGGAACAGCAATTCTTTACAATAGTAATGGAGCAACAATCATATGACAGAATCTATGTGATCTAGATAACAAGAATAGGAAATATAGGACCTAGAGTAGTATGCTAATAGAACACAAGTGAAGTGAAAGATGGAAAATTAAAAATACACTATGAAAGAAAGAACAAGGGAAACCAAACAATGCAATTTAACAAGCTAAGCAAAGAAGACTAAACAGAAAAAAGAGAAATACAAAAATACTAATAAAATAAGAGATGTGAGAATAATAAAAAAATCATAATACAAAAATAGAATAACTTGCAAGTTCTCTGGAGTAGCAAAGTGTACTTTGTCTCACTGTCTCAGCTGTTGGGATGACCCTTCTCTGGATCCAACTCTGGTCTTTTCATAGCTTCAAGTTTTATTGTCTCACTTGTGGGAATTAAAATAAGAAAAGAAGGAAGGAAGAAGAGATAAAAAGGGAGAGAAAGGAAGAAGGAATAAAAAAGAAAGGAAAGAAAGGAAGAAGGAGTTAAAAGAAAAAAATACTTAAACAAAAAAGAAAAAGAAAAGAGCCTCCTGCTGGCTGTAAACTGACCAAGCCAGTTCTGGTGGTCTTCCTGGCTGTGGCAGGCTGAGGGATGATTGGTTTCGCTTTTCTCCCTTTCTGAGCTGCAGTCACCCAGCCTCCAGCCCAGTTCCTCAGTTCACTGCCCGGTCCCAGTGCCCTTCTGTGCCCAGCCTATGCCTTCAGTCCACTATTGCTCTGTCTTTGAGGTGCACTAATTAGGGACAGTTCACATACCACCTTCTTCCTCTTTGCTTTCCTAGATGCTAGGGACTCTCAGAGTCCCTTCAGGCTAGTTCAGCCTACCCCACCACTGAGTTAAGTCTTTCTTAGGATTGCTGACTCCCTGAGCCCTGCAGTTCTCCCCTGTGGGGGCATCTCCACCTTCCTCTTAGAAAGCCAGTCAGCCCTGCAGGGCAGGGGTGCCCCTGTGGCTGCTCCTGAAGATGCAGGTGTGTGCCCTCTGCTGCTTCCCTTGGGGCACAAGGGTTGGGTGCGTGGTGCCTCTGGGCAGTGGTGAGGCCAGGCGTGCTCCCTCCAGGTGCTGCCAGCATGAGCACTCGGCCTCCACTACAGGGGCAGGACAGGCAGCCAGTGGTCCAGCAGGTTCAGGTGCACACACTCCCCGGGGCTTTGGGTGTGAGGGCAGGGCCTTCCACACCACCACAGGAGCACTGCACAGCTGGCAGGGTTAGGGGCACAGGAGGCCGGGGTGGTTGCTGCAGGAGAATTCCCCAAACAGCTGCTCAGTGCCTCTTTTCTCACTTTTTCTTTTTGAAAAATTCCTCCTGCTCAAGCCTGCCACTCCAAACAAGCGACTCACCTCTCACACAGCCCCACTCTCCAACTAGACAGGGTACTGACCCGGTCAGGGTCCATCAGGGCCCAACTCTCCCCAGTTGTGTCCACAGTCTCAGTGGGTGCACACAGTCCCTGTGTTTGCCACTTCATCCTTATTGCCCCCCTGCAACTTCAAGCAACCAGGTCTCTCCCAGTGCTGCTCAAACCTTGTTTGGCAGGGGAGGAAGCCGTTGACCCAGCTCTCTCCCCAGAACACTGCAGAAGACCGGTGGGCACCAGACCTGGGGCTGCAGCCACCCCTGGTCTCCGAGCTGGCCCAGGGACTTTATTGTCCTGAAGCACTCTCCTTACCGTCTGGTTTTTCAATGTCCTCTACAATTTTTGGTCTCCAATCTTCATATATGCTGGGATACTGTTGGCTGTTCACTCTGTTCCTCAGAAGATCGGCTAGGTGTTTCACCCGTGTGCAGGGGAAAGTGGACTCCGCTCCCACCTATCTTGCCGCCATCTTCCTTGTCCCAAAATCAGAATATAAGTTCTTACATCTAAGATAACACACATCCTTAAAATTCCAGAAATAAAACCAGAACATGACCTAATCCTATATTCTCAGGTTTTATAATTCAGAACATTAAAAAATAATTCTGTTAATACAAGCACCCTGAAAATGTCAAAATATACATTTAATTATATAGAAACAATTTGCATAGTGTTTTGTATTTATTAATTGTAAAGAAGAGTCAAGTTATTTTAATCTTGATTTCTTATTGTGTGGATCTAAAAAAATATATCACTTAAGTTTAGAAGAGAAGTTAGTTTAAATGAATAAATACATAAAACATCATTCCCTGTTAAATTTAGTTTTATCTTTTGCCTTTATGGAATACTTTTAAATTTTTAAATAGCAAATTACTCACACTATCTACCAAAACAGTCACTCACTATTATTCCTCCAATTCCTTCCTTGTCATTTCAACCAGTAACCCAAAAGAGGTAACAGTTTAGAGGCCAACATTTCATTCACTCATTACCTGTAATAAACAGAAAAATAATATATCCACAGGCAATGTTTCTTCACCCAAGTAAATGGAAATTTATTTATTTAAAAATAAGCTTTAAATAAACAATTAATTCAAAAATATCTGAAGAACCCAAATTTGTATAAGGCCTTATACTCTGTAACCAGACACATATTATATGGATAATGACCTATGAATATAAAAACTTGAAAAGAATTTCAACCTAGGAAATTAAAGAGAAGCAAGTTTAACATTTTTGCTTGTTTTTTAAAATATATTTTAAAGATTATGCTATCATAGTTATCCTAATTTTCCCTCCTTTACCCCTTTTCACCCAGTATCCCCATTCTCTCCTGCAATCCCTGCCTTAGTTCATGTCCATGATTCATGCATATAAGTTCTTTGGCTTCACCATTTCGTATACTATTCTTAACACATCCCTGTCTATTTTGTCCCTACCAATTATGCTTCTTAATCCCTGCAACTTTCCCCCATTTTCCCCTCCCAATCCCAGCTGATAACCCTCCAAATGATCTCCATATCTATGAGTCTTTGGTCCTGTTCTGCTTGTTTGCTTTTTGTTTTTTAAAAGACTCAGTTGTTGATAGCTGTGAATTTGTTGGCATATATATTCATAGTTTTGATCTTCTTTTTCTTAAATAAGTCCCATTATTATTTCATGTAATAATAGCTTGGTGATGATGAACTCCTTTAGCTTTACCTTGTCAGGGAAGCACTCTATCTGCCCTTCCATTCTTAATGACAGCTCTGCTGGATATAGTAATCTAGGTTATATGTCCTTGGTTCTCATTATTTTGAATACTTCTTGCCAGTCCCTTCTTGACTGCCAAGTTTCTTTTGAGAAATCAGCTTAAAGTGTTATGGAAACTCCTATGTAGGTAACTCTCCCCTTTTCTCTTGCTCTTTTTTAGATTCTCTCTTTATCTTTAACCTTTGGCATTTTAATTATGATGTATCTTAGTGTGGTCCTCTCTGGGTCCAATTTGTTTGTTTCCTGGACTTGTATATCTATTTCCTTTGCCAAATTAGGTGAGTTTTTTCATTATTTTTTCAAATAAGTTTTCAATTTCTTGCTGTCCTTCTTCTCTTTCTGGCACCCCTATGATTTGGATATTGGCATGTTTGGAGATGTCTTAGGGTCTTCTACTACCCTTGCTTTTTTAAAATTCTTGTTTCTTCTTTCTATTCTAATTGAATGTTTATTTCTTTCTTATGTTCCAAATTATTGATATGTAGTCTAGTTTTCTTCCTTTCATTGTCAGTTGCTGGTAGATTTTTCTTTATTTCACTTAGTGTAACCTTCATTTCTTCCTTTATGTTGTTGCTGCACTCAATGAGTTCTTTGAGCATCCTGATCACCAGTGTTTTGAACTCTGCATCTGATAGGCTGGTTATCTCCATTTTGTTTAGTTTTTTTCTGAGGTTTTGTTCTGTTCTTTCATTTGGGCCATATTTCTTTGTCTCCCTAATTTGGCAGCCTCCCTGTGTGTGTTTCTGTGTATAGGTAGAGGTGTTTTGACAGCTCCTTAGTAGTGTGGCCTATTGTAGAAAAGGCACCTGCTGTGTGGGGAGGAGCCTTAGGTAATTACCAGTGCAGGGCAACCCATTTTACCACTTTGTGGTTCTATGTTAGGGGGAGGGTTTCGAGAGGGGGCAATGTCGCTGCCTGGCTTCTAGAGATTTTTCCAGCACTCACCCTGTTTCCAGTCACTTCACTTCCTCCCTGTATGTGACTAGTGCCTTTCCAGATATTGCCCTGGTGCTGGATCCAAGAGTGGGTTGGTCTGCCTAAGTTCTCAATCCATACAAGCCCTTTGAGAAGGGTGTGCTGAAAATCCAGCAGTTTCTTCTGCTGGCCCAACCCCACTGGTTTTTATAGCCAGAAGTTATGGGGATCTTCCTGGCACTGGAACCCTGGGCTGTGTGGTCTGGCCTGCGGCTGGGATCACTCTCTCCCAAGGTATCCCTCCCAATTTTTATTCACCACATGTGAACATGGGACCACCCATTTCACCACCACCATCTCTCTATGCCCCACTGCATCTCCTCACCTCTCTGTCATTCTCCATGTATCCGCCTGGATGATTGTGGCTTCTTTAAATCCTTGGTTGTTGGACTTCCATACAGCTCAATTTTCTGATGGTTCTGGGTGGTATTTGTTTTCAGGTATAGTTGTAATTTTCCTGTGGTTGTGCAAGGAAGCAAAACGTGTTTACCCATGCCTCCTTGTTGACTGGATGTTCCTATGTTTGTTGAGTGATTGGTAATCCCTAATCAAAATGTTAAAAATGTAACTTTTATTCTTCTGTTTATTATTATTTTTTATTCTTTAAGCTAAATGACATCCTACCAAATGTTGAAACAAACATGCCTAGAAAATGCACACATGAACAAATACTCACACTTTATTAGCTACAATAAATATAAGAAGTTAGAAAATATTTTACTTTTCTAATAAAAACACTCAGCCTATTTTAAATGATCTAAAGTGATATCTATTCATGTGTATGGTGAGGAATACTGTCAACTGTCAATGCCTCAAACATCAGGAACTTCTAAAATAATCTGACTTTTCTTTGTTGTTCAAAGTCTTGTAGTAATCAGCATTCATTTCTATTGCCTTGATGGTTAGATAGCAAACTTTCAAGAAATCCAGGGAGAAATTAGCACATATAGCCATAATTTCTACTGAGACAGTTATTTGCATACAGGATCATTCACAATTTAAAATGTGTTCTTATATATGTGAAAAGGGAATAACAGATTTATATTAGCATGTGCAATACCAAAACTGTTCTCACAATTTAATTCCTTGGAGAGGATATCTCATCACCTTCTTTTATAAAGGACATTACATTCTCTGAAGAATTAACTTGCTCTGAGACCTAAAAAACTAAATTATGAGTTAGTAAGATAATATTTATTATTTATAAATCTTGCTGTAGGAATAATTTCATATTAAATTATCCAAGTTTACAATATTCTTGAAACTTGATAACACATATTTAAGGAGGAAAATACTAATTTATTTAATATGTAATTGCATATTTAAATAATTCATAGTTACTTTTTTATTTAATTGACATTTTACACTCTTTAGAAGTTTTAAAATTAAAGGGTGTTTTAGTTTTTAATATAGTTTCTTAAACTTGTTTTGCACAGCAATTTTCCACATGTATTTGGTAAGCTTAATATATGACCTCTGAAAACAAAAATAGGAGATCCCAAATGGAGGCAAGGTAGATGGAAACTACACTCACCTCCTCAAAATACCAAACCGGAGTTATAAGTAAATTATAGAATAATCATCCTGAATAACCAACTGAAGACTAGCTGAAGAGAAGTCTTATAGCCAAGAATTTATAAAAGAAGCCACATAGAGAATGGTAGGGTGGGTGGAGACACGAAAAGCACTGGACCAGCAACCACGGGTGACAGCTGAGGTTCTGGAGAGATATCTCAGCTGCATAGGGTTTTCACCTGAAGTGTGGGATCTAAACCCCACACCTGGCTCCCCAGCCCAGAACACAAGAGCCAGGAACAGGCACCCACATAACATCTGGCTGTGAAAAGTAATAGGGTTATTGTCCACCAGGGACAGATGGGAGTTTGATAGAGACACAGGCACCCTCTTAAAGGGCCAATGTACAAAATCTCATTCACAACACTTACCTAGGGCTCTGACAAAGTGAGGATAGAGTGGACTAGATTTGTGTGAGGAAATTCTGGGTTTTGTGGCTCTGGGGAACTGAAGAGAGAGCTCCCAGGATACCTTTGTAAAGTCATTCTCCCATATTGGAGATGCCATCTTTCTTGGGTGGAGCAATCCACTCCATGCAGCATCAGTCTTGGGGAAAGCAAAACCCCACATCCTCTATACCCTCTCACCTATCACTGTGGAGTGTAAGCTGTGCTGAGGACTATAGACAGAGCTCTTTCAGTAAGCAAGCCCAGCAGGCACCCAGCAGGCAGAGGCAAGCTAGGCAGATCTCAGGTTACCTTGGGACTTTTCCTGACCTTCCAGTGCTGGTAAAATTTGGCCTTGGGACATACCTGGTCCTTCCTGTGAGATCCAGGTCCTGCAGCAGTAGCCTCAAACTATGCAAAAGCCAGTTATAGGTAGTGTCTTACACTGGCTTGTACCAGAGTCCTTCTCAAAGTGCAGAACCAACACACCTAGTGGCCAGCTTCAGACAACATCAAAGCAGGATCTAATAAACTTCATATGCAGTATATCCAAAGAGAAATTTTGGCAGGGACCAAACACTGCTGAGGTGACTTCTGCTTCCTGTGGTTACCACCTGAACAACAATTCGCACACTGGGGTTGAGGTTGTGCCTCACAGTCAGCCAGCCACAGGGACGATCCTATGCACAAACAGGCCAATAGCAATCAAGAGTCGATTATAACAGGAGTGCCCACACAACCCACACAGGGGACATTCCCGGAGCACCCACCCAGCTCAGGTGATCAAGGAGACAAGCACTGGACCCCACAGGACACCGACTACATAAGGCCACCCTGCCAAGACTGGAAATCATAGCAGAACTATCTAATACACAGAAACAAACAAAAAGAGGCATTCTCCAAAATGGGGAGACTAAAAAAGGTCCTAAAAGAAAGAACATGAGAAATCTCCAGAAAAAGAGCTAAATGAAATAGAGGCAAGCAATTTATTACATATAGAGTTTAGAGTAATGGTTATTAGGATGTTAACTACATGAAACAGGATATAGACACCATTAAGAAAGACCAGTCAGAAAAGAATATAATATCTGAAATGAAGAACACAAAGAAGGAATAAAAAGTAGGTTGGATGAAGCAGAGGATCTAAATAAATAAAACTAGAAATGAAAAAGAAGTAGCAGCACCAAAGAAATACAAAGGATTGTAAGAAAATATTATGAGCAACTATACGCCAACATGTGGACAATCTGGATGAATGGATAAATACCTAGAAAAATACAATCTTCCAAAACTGAATCACAAAGAATCAGAAAATTGCAATAGACAGATTACAACTAGTGAAATTGAAGCAGTAAACAAAAAACCTCCACCAAACAAAAATCCTACACTGGAATGGCTTCACAGGTGAATTTTAACAAACATTCAAAGAAAAACTAACACATATTTCTCAAACTATTACAAAAATTGAAGAAGAGGGATGACTTCCAAGCTCATTTTATGGGGTCATCATTTTCTTAATTCTAATACCAGATAAAAACACTACAAAGAAAGAAAACCATAGGCCAATATCCCTATTGAACATATATATAAAAATCCTCAAGCAAAAATTAACAAACTGAATCTAGCAATACATTGAAAAGATCATACACCATGACCAAGTGGGATTTATCCAAGGAAGCAAGGTTGGTTAAATATCTGAAAATCAATAAATGTGATGCAGTATGTAAACAAAATGAAAGATAAAAACCATATGATCATATCAATAGATGCAAAAAAAGCATTTGATAAAATCCAGCACCCACTTATGATAAAAACTCTCAGCAAGGTGAAAAGAGAGGGAATATAACTCAAAGTAGTAAAAGCTGTATATGAGAAACCCATAGCCAACATTATACTCAGTGGGAAAAACTACAATCATTTCCTTAAAGATCAGGAACAGGATAGAGATGTCCACTTTAACCACTCTTATTCAACATAGTATTGGAAGTGCTAGTCATAACAATAAGAGAAGAAATAAAAGGTACCCTAAAGATTCCACCAAAAAACTCCCAAAACTAAAAAATGAATTCAGTAAAGTAGCAGGATAAAAAATAAATATCCAGAAATCAATTGCATTTTTATACAGCAATAATGAACTATCACAGCATAAACTAAGAAAACAATCCCATTCACAATTGCTTCAAAAAAAAAAGAAAGAAAGAAAGAAAGAAACAGAGAATAAACTTAACCAAGGATGTAAAAGATCTGAATTCAAAAAATTATAAGACACTGAAGAAAGTCAATGAAGCAGATACACGTAAGTGGAAGGATATACCATATTCATGGGTAGGAAGAATATTATTTAATTGTCCATACTAACCAAAGCAATCCATAGAGTCAAAGCAATTCCTATGAAGATACCAATGGTGTATTTCACAGAATTAAACAAATACTGTAAAAATTTATATGAAATTACAAAAGATCCCAAATAGAGACAGCAATCTTGAGAAAGAAAAACAAAGTTGGAGGAATCACACTACCCAATATTTAACTATCCTACAAGGCCATAGTAATCAAAACAGCATGATAATGGCATAAAAACAGACATACAGATCAATGTAACAGAACAGAGAGCCCAGAAAAAACCCCACACCTTTATGGCCAATTAATATTTGACAAAGGAGGCAAGAAATACAAGGGGTAAAGACAATCTATTCAATAAATGATGTTGGGAAAACTGGGAAGTTATGTGCAAAAAGTAATATTACACCATCAACTTGTACCATACAGAAGAATAAACTCAAAATGAATTAAAGATTTGGATGTTAGACTCAAAACCATAAAATAAGAAGAAAATATAGGCAGTAAAACCTCTGACATTCTCTGAGCACTACATTTTCTGATATACACCTTCAGGAAAGGGAAACAAAATAACAAATAAACAAATGGCACTAAACCAAATCAAAGAGTTTTTTCACAGCAAAGAACACCATCGATAATATAGGAAGATAAGCCATGAAAAGGGAGAATGTATTTGCCAATACATCTGAAAAGCAATTAATATCCAAAATTCATAGAGAACTTATACAACTCAACACCAAAAAAAAAAAATACAATCCAATTAAAAATGGACAAAGGACCTGAATAGTCACTTCTCAAAAGAGGACATACACATGGCCAAAAGACATATGAAAAGATGCTCAATGCCACTAATCATTACAGAATGCAAATTAAAATCACAATGAGGTATCTGCCAGAATGGCTATCATCAATAAATCAACAAACAGCAAGTGTTGGCAAGGACGTGGGGAAAGGAGAACCCTCATGCACTGTTGGTGGAAATGCAATCTGGTACAGCCACTGTGGAAAACAGTGTGGAGTTACCTCAAAAAATTAAAAATGCAACTGCCTATGACCCAGCAATTCTGCTTTGGGAATTTATTCAAAGAAAACTGAAACAGTAATTTGAAAGTACATATGCACCCCTATATTCACTGTAGCATTATTTATAATAGTCAAGTTTGGGAGCAGCCCAGTGCCCATCAGTAGATGAGTGGACTAAAAAGCTGTGGTACATTTCACAATGGAATACTATTCAGCTGTAAAAAAAGAAGATAATTATACTCTTTGTGACAGCACAGGTGGATCTGGAGCACTTTATGGGAAGAGAAGTAAGTCAGAAAAAGACAAGTACCATATGATTTCACTCATAATTGGAATCTAAGGAATAAAATGAACTAACAGTTGAAATAGAGAAAGGCTCATAGAGAGCAGGCTGTCAGTTATAGGAGTGGGGGAGCTAGGTATGAATATGGAGGGATTAATCAGAAAAAATAAAAAACAAAAGAAAAACTCATGGATATGCACAACAGTGTGGTGATTTTGGGGTGGGGGTGGATGGTGTTGGAGGAAGGTATGGGGATATAAGTGGTGATGGATGAAGACTTGACTTGGGGTGGTAAACACAACAGTGAACAGATGAAGTGTTGTAGAATTGTGCACCTAAAACCTGTATAATTTTTTTAACCAGTGTCACCCCAATAAATTCAATAAAAAAGAAAAACTAAAATGAAAATATACAAAGAGTAGTTTCATATTTAATCACATTCTGAGCAAGTTATTTCATTGTTCATTTATACTTTTCTTATGAAACCTATAAAGAACAAGTAAAGAAATAAGAAACTTGATGTCTTCACATACGTCTCTGCTTTCAGAAAAGAAGTATTCAATCCCGGCTGCAACATTTAAATACAGATTAAAACACAGGTCATTAAAAAAAATTAACCTATGACTCCAGAAAAATAATCATCTCAGTTTTTAAGGTTAAAAGATAGACCCTACTAAGAAAACTCTTATTTAAGTATGAAATTATAAACAGGGAGAAAAGATGTTTGGTTATCACTGGATTACAACTGAGAACCAATCATGAAAACACAGTATCATTCCAAATGCAGGGATGAATAAAGTAGGAAATAAAGGAGACACGTGTCCCTGATCTTTGGAAACATTACAATGTTTGCAAAGTAATATTTTAAAAATTCAAATTGATCATATAATTAATATGATGGCCTATTTCCTAGAGTAAGCAAAAATCCTTAGTCTAAAGAACCACTAATGTCCAAGTTTGTCATTTCTTCTCTACCTGTGTTCCAACACAGTATCAAATCCAGCTTTTAGTTCCACGATTTTGGCAAGCTCATTCACATTTTCATGAATTTACTCATGCTCTTAAATTTACTTTAAATGCCACTTGTGGAATCTACATTTTAATATTTCAAACAAGAGTTCTTAATTCAGATCTCAAGAGATGATTGTACATACATATAGAATGAAGAAAATAGTCCATTTAAAACAAAATAGTCAATTTAAAAGACTAACAAAATATATACCTTTGTATCCAAGTAGAAAATGGGTATCTTGACATAAACATATTGAGATAAGTCATCATATGGATGAACAAATTCCTATTGAATTAAACTGCACAACTAAACAGCAGTCTTCCTGATGCTTTCAGGGATCAAAGTGACCACCTTGTCTTTTCCTTGCTAATTAATTTCCTTTATAGCTGCAAAGAGAGTATGTAAAAACTTTAATACGTGAAAAGATTTCTAAAATCTGATCACTTGCCAATGCTGATATAAAAATGCATAAGAAAAGTAACTACAGGACAGTTATGTCTGGAACCCCCAAAAATCATGTTCCAGGAAAGGAACGTTAATCAGTGGGACTAACCCTCCAGCCATATTAAGGGGCTAAAATGAACAGAGTACCAACAAACAGTGCTGCAACAACTGTATATCCGTAGGGGGCAAACAAACAAGCAAGCAAAAGACCTGGACCCCTATGTCACACCATCCACAAAAATCAATTGAGGATACATCCTAGACCTAAGAAAATAAGAGTTAAAACAAAGCTATATCGTTTTAACAAAGGAAAAAGATATTACTGTCATGAATTTGAAGTAGGCAAATATTTCTTAGAGAGAACACAGACAGTACAGACCATAAAAGCAAATAAAGAATGTACTGGATTTCAAAATTTGTTTCTGTTCATCAAAATATACAGTGAGAAAATAAATAAGTTATCAAAAGGAAGTAAATAGTTATACCTGTATCTGATGAAAGAACTTGCATCCAGAATATATAAAAAAATAAATTAAATAAAATACAACCCAATAAAAAATGAGTAAAAGCCTTGAACA